CATAGCAAGGTGTAAACAGAATGTGATCTTTTAAGCTTTACCACTGCATGTACTGTAGGCTTAATAAATCCATGCTTCTTGATCTCAACACTCAAGAACCGTATTGATTTGACAGAGCTTCTAAACAGCAAAACAAAATTTCCGGTATCAACTTCAGTTATGCATGCACTGATTTTGACAATTCAGCATCCCCTTGAGATTAGAAGCTACAACACTGAATCGTTTCCATCACCTCTGCCACCAGGATCTCCCCAGCAATCCCTCCACCAACCAGCTCTACCAAACACATACACTCTCTTAACAGGCTCCCCCACCATCACCAACTTCCACTAGTTCAACTCGCATAACAGGATTTCTCCCATCACAGCAGCAACTTAATTGAGAATGCACATTTAAGGTAATAAAACCTTCCAAGGCACTTCACAAGATATTAGTCAAGAAAATTAGAGCCTGAACCATGAAAAAGTAACATTACACGAGATAGCCCAAAACTTGGTCAAGGGAATGGGTTTTTAAGCAGGTCAAGGTGAGCTACACAGTCAGTACTGAGGGAGTGGATTTTGGAGTGAAATCTGAAGTCAATGGCTTTAGTCTTTTTAATACCCAATTGGAGGAGTCTATTGTTCAGTCAGTATTGGACTTTTTTTTAAATGCAAACTGCCGCCAACTCAACCATGTCTCTCAGTAAATTAACAAAGTCAGTACTGACGAGGCTGGTTGGCTTGCCGAGCTGGTTTGTTGTTCCGCAGACGTTTCATTGCGATGCTGGGTAACATCATCAGTGCAGCCTCCGATGAAGCGTTGGTGTGTCTTCCGTCTGATGACGTTACCTAGCAGGGTAACGAAACGTCTGCGGAACAACAAACCAGCTCGGCGAGCCAACCAACCTTAACACCCACAACCCGAGCTACAAATCTACTCCAAAACCTTAGTCAGTACTAGATGTTTTTTCCCTCATCAACCTATTCAGAATGTCGTTACATTCCTCTGGAGCAGGTGGGACTTCAACCTGGGCCTCCTGGTTCAGAGGTTAGTACTGGATGTTTTACAATTTTTTTTAATGAACTTGCACAGACATGTTATTACATATCTCTTTAGGAGGTGGGACTTGAATCTGGGCCTTCTGGCTCAGAAGTAGGGACACTACCACTGCACCTCAAGAGCCTTCAGTACTGGATGTTGGCTAAGCAGTCTGGTAGTGTTCATATGTGAACTCTTAACGAATTATGTTTTCAGATAATAATATTGATCATCAACATATAGATGTGAAACAGAAGGGGGAGAAAAAGATAGATCCTTGTGAAACATCATCGTTAACAGCCCAGGAGCAGAAAGAGATTGCTAGGCTAGTGGAATCTTTTGGAACCAACTAGATGACAATGGGGAGATATTGGAGCAGTATATTGTGATCAACCATGACAAAGGCTGCAGACTGATCAAGAAAGATTCAGAGGGGATTGTTTAGCTTTGTACTAGATGAAACAAATAGGATAAAAAAAGTTACAGCACAGACAGAGGTCACTCTGTCCAAAGAATCTATGCCACCTTTCTGCAAAATCATTTCAACTAGTTCCTGCCTCACCTAGTAACCTTCCTTTTTCTTTTTGAAATTTAAAATAAAAAAAATTGATAAACACAAAACTGCTTCCATCAGCCTTTCAAGCTGCACGATTAGAATCATTCGCTCCATAAAATTGTTTTCCCTTTGATTACCTCGATTCTTTTGCCAATCACTTTAAATCCACTCCCTCTGGTTCACAACCTCTCTTGTTAATGGAAAGTTGTCTGTACAATCTAAGCCTTTAAGCCTCTCATGACTGTGAACACCCTTATCAAGTCTCCTTTCAACATGATCTTCTCTAAGGAGACCACCATCTCTGTTCAACTGCATCTGATAATTGTCCACCCATTCCATCAGTCTAACTTCCTCAGTCAATCACTAAACGACTCGCAATTCACTATAATTCCAAGTTCCATGTTATCTGCAAATTTCAAAATTGTATGCTGTACAACTAAGTCTAATTCATTGATAAAGATCTAGAATATCATTATTGATGTCTGAGGATCTTATTGTATACCTTGATCCAGTCATTTATGATTTTGGTCAGAACCATTTCGGTATTGTAACAGGCGTGGAAAGCTGATTGGAGGGAATTCAAATATTGGTTTGAGAAAGATGGACATGATTTTGTGAGATGACATCAATGTCAAAGCCCTGGACGTGAAAAGGAAGGTTGGAGATGGGACAATAGTTTGCAAAGTATGACGAGGGTAAGGGTTTCTTTACTGAGGAGAGAGTGATGAAAGTTGAGTTAAGACTTAAAGGAGAAATGGCCAGCTTGAAGAGATAGAATGCAATGTCAGCTAACATGGGAAACAGGGAGGAAACTGGCTAGCGAGCAGTTCAGTGAAAATAGAGTTAGGAGAAGCAGGATACATACCCTGTGGAAATTGTGAGTTCAGAGATGGCATGAAAGGGCAGCATCAAGCAAAAGCTACAAGCTCAGGGCTGCAACAGGGAGCTGTAAAGGTAGTTTTGTGTGGTGGGATAGGGAAATACAGAGATAGCTGATTAGATGGTCTCAATTTTAGTGATCAAAGAGCATAAGCTCTTTGCACTTATTACAAAAGGAAAATACTCCAGATGCTGGGAATCTGAAACAAACACAGAATGCTGGAGAAACTCAGCAGGTCTAGCAGCATTTGTGGAGAGAGAAACAGAGTCAACATTTTGAATTGGGTGTGACTCTTCTTCAGAGCTGAAAGGTGTTGGGATGAGTTTTATTTTTGATACAGGCAGAGACCCAGTGCAAAACCAAAAGGGGCATTAGTGGTGAAGAGGAAAGAGAGATGTAAAATGTGCGTAAATGGAGAGGTGAAAGGGATATTATGGATCTACTCAGAGCAAACTAAAGAAGAAAAAAACGATGAAACAGTGCGTGTTTGAGTGCGAGTGTGTGTGTGTGAGAGACAGAGAGAAGCAAGGGAAGAGAGAATGCAAGAAAAATGGAGAACCAATACTATAATCAGTTTCTAAAGTTATCGCGTTCAATATTGAAACCTTGATGCTGTAAAGTACCTAAGCAGACAATGAAGTGTTGTGGATGAATTAGTGATTCTTATGATGCTTTACGTCAGTTCCATGATTTCCAGTTTCCTTGTCCTAGCCACCTCCTCAGTAGCAACGTGCAATCACTCTCCAGATCCATTTGCCATGGTCTGAAGACTATTTCTTCTTTGAAAGAGAAAGGCCTGCACAGGCCACCCTCCACCACTCTCATTTGCCTGGTAGATGCTTGTTCACATTTTGAACAACTCTCATGTAACTCCTCTCATATCTTCAAGTCTAAGGAGTGAACATGGGTATCCGCATGGGTCGCATCCAGGCCCGTCTCTTTGTAGGTGAAACATTCCTTGTTCCAGGCCTACTGGAGACCCACGCACAATTATTTCTCCAATATATCGATGATGCCTTCACTGCTGTCATCTGTGATTGGAAAAATTAATCAGTTTTGCTTTGAATTTCCATCCTTCTCTTATCTTCACCTGGTCCATCTTAGAAGCTTCCCTTTCTTGGTTTCACTATTTTCAGTTGTCACCAATATCCATCACAAGCCTACCAACGCTCAGTTAACTTCACAATACCTTGTCACACGCTGCTTCCTGTCGCCCAGTTACTCCAGATCTATCACATCTATTCTGATGATGCCAATTTCCACTGAGGTACCTCCCACTTGCTTGCCGTTTTAATAAACCAATTTCTCTCATGCTAACATTTCTGTCCTGGGCCTGCTGCAATGATCCAATGAAGCACAACATAAGCTCAAGGAGCAACACCTTATTTTCTACACAGGTACTTTACAGCCTTGAGTTCTCAATATTGAATTAAATAACTTCAGAAACTGACTGCATTATACATGTTTGATCTCCACTTGTCTTACATTTATCTCTCCATTCCATTACAACACTCCAGAGCCTTGCCTTGTTCACTTTGCTCTTCCTTTCACACCTTAATTCAGTGGAGGTGTGCTAAGAAAACAAAACAAAGATATCTTTTATAAAACAAAGAACTGTGGATGCTGGAGATCTGAAACATAAACAGAAACTGCTGGTGAAACTCAGCAGGTCTGGCAGCATTTGTGGAAAGAAAGCAGAATACTTTGTGTGTCACTTCAATATAGGTATGTACATGTTTTCCGGTGAATATGAGATGGTGAATAATCAAAACTGCTTTCTCTTCATAGATGCGTAAGTCATCTGAAGAAATCATAACGAACTTGAAACGTTAACTCTGTTTTCTCTCCACAGTCATGCTGAGTTCCTCCAGCAAATTGTGTTATTGTTGGGGGGGGGGGTGGTAAGGGTGGAGTTGTACTAAAACAAAGCTGAAGATATCTTTGATAAAACAAAGAACTATGGATGCTGGAGATCTGCAACGTAGACAGAAATGGCTGCAGAAACTCAGCAGGTCCGACAGCATCCATGGAGAGAAAGCAGAGTTAGCTTTTCGAGTCCAGTGGCTCTTCATCAGGAACAGAAGTTATCTTTGCAATACGAGGGGTGGCCCAAGAATGGCGAGCAGGGCTGGGTAGCGCTACCAAATGGTCCAGCCAGGCGATGGCTAAACCAGAAGCACATTATTACATCTTTTCGAAACAGAAACTGCCGGAGAAACTCAGCAGGTCTGGCAGCATCTGTGCAGAAAAGAAGCAGAGTTCATGCTTCAGGTCCAGTGAGCCATCTTCAAGAACTCTATCCTGCGATGTCAGCATCCTTCCCCAGGTCCGGACTGTCACCCCCAACCCTCCTCTCTTTCTTTTTCTGTGTATTTCTCCCCCCTTCTCACCTGCGCCTCACTCTCCTGCAGCCACTCGCCATGAACCAGCAGGTCGTACAGAACATTCTCCTCTTCCAGCGCCATCGTCACCACCGGAAACGGCCGGGGGAACCTTCACCATGTGACACCACCGGAAACTACATGTGGAAGGGGTCCGTCACTAAAACGGGTCCGGGAAGATTTTTAATTCGTTTAATTTTTTGAGGAAAAAAAAGAAGATAAGCCTGGCAGAAGTCAGTGAGCATTCGAGGCCTTTATTTCGCTTCTGTCTGACAGGTGGAACTGATTATTTGGACTTTGAAGGCTGTCTGTCCCTCAGTATATGATCTCCATGTGAGGGAGCTGTGTTCCGACCTCGCGCGGATTCCGTTAGCGGTGCAAAGATGGCGGCGTTTTCAGGTACGGTGCGTCTTCGCTCTTCTCCGGCCGCTGTCGTTTTCTGTCTGTATTTAAAATGTTCCTGTTCCCTGCACCTCTCTCTCTCTGGCTGGTGTTACGGTGGTGGTTAGAATCAGCTCTGGTCGATGGCTCCAGCTCAAGCCGGACCCAAAAGTGAGGGTTAACCCAAGCCTCAGGCTTACAGCCCACACCGGGGTTTACAACCAAATGAGAATAATTCCGCGCGCCCACCCCCGCAAGTTACTGAGCTAAGTGGTTTAATCGCTCATCGACGCGGCCCCCAAACTTGGAAAATTTCTAGGTTTCCTTTCGTCTGAAAACGCACGATTCCTTGAATGGACGTGGCACTGACAATCCCCTTCATTCTCCGTTCCTTGTACGGGCCCTGGCCGATTTCTCCTTGCATCGTTTGTAAATTTGATCTCATTCCAAAGCTTTGGTCTCTACGATGTGCCTTTGCAGCGAATTTCAGTCATTAGCATCCTTGACTTCATTCACCTTTCACTCGTCCTACAACTGATAATGCCACAATTCTAAAGGTCCGTCTTTTGTTTGGCTCAGTTTTGGCCTCGCCACACGATGTTTGCCGATTTTAAAGATGCTTTATAAATGCAGCTGGTTATTGTGTTGGGATGCCATGTTGCGGCTGCACAGAACACTCGTCAGGCCACTTTTAGAAGGTCACTTTTTTCTGAAGAAGGGTTTAGGCCCGAAACGTCAGCCTTCCTGCTCCTCTGATGCTGCTTGGCCTGCTGTGTTCATCCAGCTCTACACCTTGTTATTTCAGATTCTCCAGCATCTGCAGTTCCTACTATCGCTGAAACACTTTTAGAATATTTCGTTCAGTTCTGGTCTTCCTGCTATAGAACACATGTTATTAAAGTTGAAAGGGTTCAGAAAAGACTTACAAGGATGTTGCGAGGATTGGAGGACTTGAGCTACAGGGGGAGGCTGAATAGACTGGGGATCTTTCTGCCTAAAGTGTCGGAGGTTAAGGGGTGACCTTCTAGAAGTTTATAAAATCTTAAGGGGCATGAATAGGGTGAATGGCCAAGGTCTTTTGCCCAAGGTAAAGGGGCCCAAAACTAGAGGACACCGGTTTAAGGGGAGAGGGGAAAGATTTAAAAGGGGCCTAAAGGGAATACATTTTAAAGCAGAGCGTGGTATTGTATAGAATGAGCTGCTAGAGGAGATGGGTACAATTACAATATTTAAAAGGCACCTGGATTGGTATGTGAATAGGAAGGGTTTCAAGGGATATGAGCCAAATGCTGGCAAATAGTATTAGATTAATTTAGAATATCTGGTTTGTGCGGGTGAGATTTGATTTGTTTTATTATTGTCATGTACTTAAGTACAGTGAAAAGTTTATTGTTTTGTATGCCGTGCAGGCAGATCATAAGAACAAAGATCATAGGATGATGAACAGAGCGAGCAATACAAAGTCACGGCTGCAAACAAGATGCACAAAAAACAAGATCAACATTAGATTTGAAATTTGAGAGGTCTATCCCGAAGTCTAATAACAGCGGGGGGGAAGACCAAAAGTTCCATGCAGTAGAACTCTATGACTGTAAATGTGGTTTGAGCAGTCATAATAGGTTTTTCTTTCATGTGAATGGTACATAAAATTACTTGGAGACACTTGGAGGTGGAAGCATCCTTCCATGCTTGATTCTGTTCCAGTGTTTCATTTAGCCACCATCCCGTATTCGCATAAAATCTACATGACTACATGAAAGTGACACAAAACAAATAGAATTGTCTTTTCCAATACTGACAGATGTACATAGGGGGTCAGACTCCTAGGATGGAACTCGGTGGGGTGGAAAGGATTACATTTGATTTCAATATTATACAATGTGGTGATTGTTTGGCTAACAATTTCATTGACTTAGATGTTGTATTTCTTAAACATGAAACAATTTAATCAAAACTGTCATAAACTATTCAATGCTAATTGTCAGTTTATTCCCTTTAATGTTTGCTAAAGAAATGTCTTTTTTTCAAAGAGATGGGTGTTATGCCGGAAATTGCAGAGGCAGTAGAGCAGATGGACTGGCTGTAAGTATGATTTCTAAGTTTGTTCAAACCTGAATATTGTAACTATTGAGGCCAGATTTGAATAAAATTTGCTTAGGTTTAGAAAATGATTAAACCATAACCTGAGAATGGATTATTGAAGAGAAACATAGTTATGGAGCTCATGGATTGGTCAGTTACTGAACTGATTTTTATTTAACAGAAGGTCTTGCCATCAGTTAAATAAAACAAAGAACTGCAGATACCGGAAGTCTAAAAGAAAAACAGAAATTAGTGAAGGATCTCCATATCAAAACGTTAATTCTGGTTCTCTCCAAAGATGCTTCCAGACCTGCTGAGTTTCTCAAGAAATTTCTGTTTTTGTCTTGCTATCAGTTGTCCAGCAATAACGTATGCATTTTGGTAATGGTTTCTGGCTTACACCTATCTAATTGCAAAGTCAGGCAATCATAAAAATAACTGCTGTAAAGGAGAACATTTCCCTTCTAAAATTTCCTGCCTTTGAGAATCAAATGCCTATCTTCTGTCGTAATCTTGTGTGAAACACGTAGGGTCTGTTTTACCAGTGACAATAATTGCATCTACAATCTCAGATTCAAAAGAAAACTGGCATCAGCCAAGGAAATCCACTTCCTGTATAGTGAATAAGTTTAGATTTTGTAACAATCAATGCTATTTTACCAAAAATAATTTTGCGGCATAGTGTCCCCCTTCCCTTTCCACTCTAAGTTACAAACATTCCAATTACATTTCATGAACAAAGAAGTTAGGAGCAGAACGTCTTTTGTGCCAACTCTATCTTTCAGCAAGCTGATGTGAATTTTTTTTTTCTGCCCCACCCTCCCTTTTTTTTTTAATTCGGGAATCTGCCTATCTCGAGCTTTAAAATATTCAAAGTCTCTGTTTCTGACACCTTTTGCAAGAGCATTCCAGGACACCCTCAACCTTGTATGAGAAAGAAAGATTTTCCTTATCTCTGTCTTAAATAGATGACTTTTTTTTTAAAATCCATGACTCCTAGTTCCAGTTTTTCTCACCAGTGGAAACATCCTTTCCAGACCCACCTTGTCAAGATACTCGGTCAAATCCCCCAAACTCCTGTGGGTTCAATACTGGCCTATACAACGTTTCCACATAAACCAATCTGCCATTTGAGGTCTTAGAGCAGTAAACCTCTGAAATACTTCCAATACATTTAAATTCTCACTTAAGTAAACAGACCTGTTATGTACACAGTACTCTCATGCCCTGTATAATTTAAAGGCAACCTCTCCTAATTTTACATTCAATTCCCCTCATAATAAACAATAAGCTAGTATTCTCTCTTACTCTAAAATTTTCCCTTCTCCATTAATCTAGAAATCCTTTGCTGTTTCTCCTATGTCTGTTCATTTCTTCTTCCTCCCACATCTTACAATTGTGCCACTAATTTTCCAGTTCAGTTTTGTGTAGCAAACTATTTCTTCTTTTGAGAACTAAACAAAATTACTTGCAATTCCTGATGCTGGAATAGTCCAGCGTCGGAAACAGGAAACTATAGGCCAGCTAGCTTGACACCTATTGTGGGGCAAGTGTTAGCATCAATTATTAAAGAGGATACAGGTGGGCACTTAGAAAATGTCAAGGTGAATGAGAAAATTCATCATGGTTTTCTGAAAGATAAATCATGTTTAACCAATTTATTGCAGTTCTTTGAGTGTAACATGCACTGTTGATAAACCTGTAGATATTCTATACTTGGATTTCCAGAAGGCAATTTGCAGGGTGTTACATAACTCGAGGCACTATTTTCAAAATAGAGGTCACATTTTTGCACGGAAATAAGAATTTGAACATTTTGACAATCTTGGAACATTCTGTCTCAAGGCGGTGAAGGTGGGATCATTGAATATTTTTAAGGTGCGTGTTGATTTCTGTTAGGCAAAGAAATCAAAGGTTATTGGAATAGAATTCAAAGCACATGATTGGAAATTATCTTCTGGCATAACAGACCAGGGTCTGGGTCCTGAATGACCTCCTCCTGCTCTAGATTCATCTGTTTGCCCTTCAGATTATAGCCCCTTCAGGCTAAATCAGAACAATTATTTTCATGTTACAACAAGGATATGCTGGATTTTTAAAGTTGTTTGGTCATAACAGTTAATTATGTAGTATGTAGATTGCAGTTACCTTTCTTCCTAATGTAACAATTTTCTTTAGTCTTCCAACAGATATTCAAGCTGAATCTATACCTTTGATTCTGGGTGGTGGCGATGTGCTAATGGTGGGTAGACTGCAGTGTTTAAGTCTTCACACAGTAATCTTTGTTACAGTTGATTGTATTGTACTAGTTTATATTTTGTTAATTTATATACAATTCTGAAGACTAGAGAATGACATAGCATTCAATTTAGGTGCTCACTTCTAACTTCTAACTTACAGGCAGCAGAAACTGGCAGTGGCAAGACCGGAGTGAGTACAGAATAATTTCAATTTTTGAAAATATTATGTCCAAAACATAGTGAAAGCAGATTAGATTCTATTTTGGTAAAATGGACAGTTTTCAGCATATTTGAATTCTAAATTTCACACCGTTCACAACAGTTATTTGCAAAATTAATTCTGAAGTACTATTCTAGTTGCTGTACAGTATTTAATTCTCTAACAAAACTTGTTTTTAGGCGTTTAGCATACCGGTTATACAGATTGTATATGAAACACTCAAGGACCATGAAGAAGGCAAAAAAGGGGGAAAGACAGCTGTCAAGACTGGTGGTGCAGGTAATGATGCTAAGATAGTTTTGACATGCAAATGAAAATGTTCCATTTTGGTTCTTTTTTTGACTCCCAGAAAATACATTCTTGTAATGCATAGTATTCCGACTTGCAAATAACTTTAAATCAAAAGACCATATTGCCTTTGATATTTTAGCTGCCTTTAAAGAATAACTGTGACTTGTCCTATCCTAAAATATTATGATATGGTGCTTGTAAATGTTTCTAGTCCTATTTTAGTGTAAAAATACTATTTTTGCTTGCTGATATTGTATATATTTAATCTTTGAGAAGAAAATATATCATGTGCTCATGTTCAATCTTTAAGAAGAAAGTCTTCTTAATATATTTGTGTTGTAGTGTGGTTTACTGATGGATGGAAGTAAGAGAAGATAAAAATGAATTCTGTGAATTGATCAATGGCAGTCTTGAATGTTCAGATATTTATTAGCAAATTCCATAGAATATATATTTTTAAGATATCTGGAATTTGTGATCCTGTTAGCTAGAAGTACACCATACCGTCAGTATTTTGAAACTTGAGTAATGTAATTTGAGAAGATTTCTTTGTGCATGTTGTTTTCTCTTTTCTCTTCCAGTATTTAGCAAATGGCAGATGAACCCCTATGATAGAGGATCAGCCTTTGGTAAGTTGAGTTTGCTGTATTGAAGCAATCACAAGAACAAGTAAAGACATGGAAGTTTCAGGATGAAAATTTATTAAAATTGCAACACTAGAAACTGCAGTTTCATTTAACATGCCCTAAAAAGGGTTAGTTTAATTAAAATTAAAGTTGTTTTATTTACCACAAAAGCAAATGATTAGCTTTATAATTGTATGTGTTTTTTTTTTAACATGGCTTATGAAGAAAGCAGCAAGACCCATTCATGTTTTTGTTAATGGGCGTTATATTGTGACATATAAATGTAAATTGCTTTAATTTATATGAAGGAGAAATATATCCATCTTAGTGTATTCATTATCCTATGGCTTTTTTTCTCATACCTTTGCTTCACAGCATTCTAAGTGAAATTTTCAAGGCATTTGGTCAACTTTGTAATTGTTGTACCTCACTGGGATAGTGCATTGGAATTCAAGGCCCTCTGTTCCCAGAGTGTTCAAAAAAGTTAAAGATTTTATAAAAGCACAACATTTTTTACAAAATTCCACAATTTACCTGATTTTTAAACAGTTTCTCACAAATCATTAAGCAGGCTTCTGTACTTAATGAGTTATTAGATTCTGATGAGTTAATAGATTCTAGCAACAGAAACAACTGTAAATTTATCAGCTTTTATTTTAGTTACAATCAAATATCCCCTTATAAAACTCCCTATATGCAGATAGACATACAACAAAATTGGCAATTCAATAGTCTCTGGCCAGAGCGTTCGCTGAGATGATCCTTTTGGCTTGCCAGGACTTGCTGATTGTTAAATATCTTGCACTTTTTGCTAGTCGCAGAATACGCAGAATGACTGACTGACTGACTGACTGGTTCACAACTTGTAAAGTTTATGACTTTATGTTGAACATAACAGCTTATAACAACTGGTGAGGAAAATAAACTGGTTTTCTTCAGGCGAGACGCCAACTCTCTGACACCACCTCCTACCGCCCCCTTGATCATGACCCCACCCCTGAGCACCAAACCATCCACAACCTCATCACCTCAGGTGACCTCCCACCCACTGCCTCCAACCTCATCGTTCCCCAATCTCGCACTGCCCGCTTCTATCTCCTTCCCAAAATCCACAAACCTGAATGCCCTGGTCGACCCATTGTCCCCACCTACTCCTGCCCCACCAAACTGATCTCCAACTATCTAGACTCCATTTTCTCCCCCTTGGTCCAGGAACTCCCTACCTATGTCCGTGACAACACCCACGCCCTCCACCTCCTCCAGAACTTCCAATTCCCCGGTCCCCAACACCTCATCTTTACCATGGACGTCCAGTCCCTCTACACCTGCATTCCCCATGTAGATGGCCTTAAGGCCCTCCGCTTCTTCCTGTCCCGCAGGCCCGACCAGTCCCCCTCCACTGACACCCTCATCCGCTTAGCCGAACT